GTGTCAACAGTCGCTCAAGGGGAAGACGCGGCTCAAAGCGAAATGCAGAAGTAAATAAGGCCAGGTTCTCAACGGTGTGGGTGGATGGGTCGTTGTACATCATCAAAGAATGTGTGTGACTGAACCTTAAAATTCGTTTTCAAAAGCATATATGCTTTTAGATTTTGACTTTCCGTGCTCAAGTTAATATTCCAGTTTTAAAAGTCCTACTTTGATTGGATGTAGAAAATTTTTTTCCATCTAAAAAGGAAATCGAAATTGAGAAAAATTCAATGTCTATACCTGATATTGTGATAATAAATAAAAATATAAATTTTGCACACAAAAAAAAAAACACTTACAAAATTGAAATAAATTTTACTACTGCTTAAAAATTAAATAGTTTTTAAAAAGCCCATAATATTACGAATCAAAACTAAAATAAAATAATAGAAAGAAAACAAAATTTTAATGGTAAACTATTATTAATTTAATTATAAACAAGATTTCTTTAAATTTGTTTGAAGAAGTTGACACTTGAGGAGATGATCATAGAAATGAAGATTCGGGCTTTTCCTCGTTGCAAAAAATTGTTTTTATTCAAAAACAAACGGCTCTACCAGTTTCGGTCACGGTCTGCGACCCTATTTCATGAGCAAGAAAAAATACAAAAAATCAGCAAAATTGAAAAAACCACATTTTAACATAAAAAATAAAAATCTTTAAACTACTACTTGAATTTGTTAGTTTTAAGATTTTTATTTTTTATGTTAAAATGTGGTTTTTCAATTTTGCAGTTTTTTTGTATTTTTTCTTGCTCATGAAATAGGGTCGCAGACCGTGACCGAAACTGGTAGAGCCGTTTGTTTTTGAATAAAAACAATTTTTTGCAACGAGGGAAAGCCCAAATCTTCATTTCCGTGATTTCTTTAAAAGTTATATTAATCAATCACTAAATCAAAAGCTATGCATGTCAAATTTAAACATGTTTTTCCCATTTAGAATCGATTGAGAATATTAAATTTCAATTTCCTCTAACATTGGTGTCAAAAGTGAGTAAAAAGTGATCGGATAAGTCTGCGAATAAATATTAGGCAAATGAACGCGCCACTTTGATGAACGCAGTTCAAAGCGAGGCACCGTTCGCAAAAGTTTGATGTAAAACGTCAAACCAATCTGCGATCTGTGTGCTCTCAATTTCGCCGGAGAAAGAAAGGAGGAAATATAATTTTAGCCGAGGAAAGTCTCGGATAAGATTTAAAAGCGCTAAAAGCGGCGGCGGCAACGGTGGCACCACTATCAGCAAAAAGCCTTTCACAACTTGAACTTTGCAGAAAATTTATCGGCACTCGTGACGCCCAAAGCCTTTTCTATCTCGACTTTGAACGGCTGGAAATTTGCTCCTTGCGAAACTTTTCAAATAAGTTGGAATAAAAATAAATACACAGCACGAAAAATTAGAGGCCGAACAACGCGTGTAATAAATAGTTGGCCCGGTGTAAGTCGTGGACCAATTAGTCATCGTCGGCGAGCAGCAGATGTGCAAATTCTAGCTGACACCGAATCGCACCTGACTGCCGCCGGAGATAAATTTCGCAGGTTTGGCATTTTGCCGTGAAATCGAAAACCGCCCTCTAGGTGTGTGTGTGTTTATCAGGCTCACTCCTCCTTCATAATTTGTAAAGCACACGCGGTCGCGTTTGCTTGCGCACGAACTCACGAACAATTCGATCCGCCTGTTGACATGATAACTCAGCTATTCGCTGTGCGAAATCCAACGCGTCTTTATCGCTATCGACTTATCGACGGCATCCGCAATTCCTCTCCGAAGCACAGCTTCTGTTCCGACGCGCAAAAATTTCGGGCCTCGTCTACAGCGAGAGCAGTCGGTGGTCGCAGCTGCTTGAAATAGCTTCTTGTGTATTGGGTGCGCACGGAATTCTCGCCTCGCCGAACAAAAACAAAACCGAGAATCAAACTAAATCATTGTTCTGCCAATTCTCAACTGATTGAAAATACTTTTGGTTTCAACAAACGCCGCAAAAATTATTTTGCCGTTTAAAAATATTATTTTACTTCTTTGTAATTTGTTAATATTCCTTTTATGATATTATTTTAATTATTTACACAAGGTTGAAGTTAAAATTTAACAAACAAACAAAAAAAAATGCATGAAAATGTCTTAAATTTATCTATTTATATACAAATTTTATGCGTGTTTTTTTCTTTTGGTCCATGCAATACATTTTTCACCCAATTTTTGCGTACTTTTCTTGGAGAATGCGATTTTCCCAAAAATTATCTGTCTCGTCTTACAAACTTACTTTATGCATAAAAAAATATGATTTATTATTAACAAATAATAAAATAAAATAACTCCTAAATTCACATAAAAAAATTCACTAAAATCATGATTATACTTTCCAACTTTCAATTTTCAATTACAAATCACTTTTTTTTTAAATTCTACTCAAATTCCTTTGTAATTGAAATTAAATAAATACTAAAGTTGATGATCCAAATATAGCTATGTTTTAATAATAAATATGACAGTAACACTGATTTAGGATATTAAACAATGATTTTGGTGTACAATTTCAGATGTACGCGAAAAAGTGCGTTTGTTAATTTTGCAGGTGCAAACGACGGTCGGGGCAGCGAAGTTGTGTAATTACAAAGAAGCACAAAGCCGGCGCGCTTGCGAATTGCAAATTAAGTTAGCCCCGGCCGGACTTTAGGATCTGTCGGCACAGTCTCATTTTTCTGAATGCCCGCTGTGTGGATTTGCGAGTCCAGCCTATGAATGGGTAATGTGCTCGAGTGGTCCTTTCTGGCACTGCCGGCTCCCGGGGGACGCAGCGCCGACTGGACTGCTTGTTTGCCTCGCAAACGAGCAACTCCTCTGCCACTTCGGTGCAATAATTTATTTCTGCAGAATGCGTGCGCGTAGCCAAATCCCCGTGGAATTGTTTTCCGCTTTTGGTTTCGTTCTTGATGGTGTTTGCAAAGGCGATTTCAGCGTGTTGAATGGGATGAGTGAAGGTCTTAGTCATCCAATAAAGAGGGGTCTCGGTACCTCTTTCATTCAATTTAACTGCGAACAAAAGGCTTGGAAAGAACAAATCTGATAGTGATTCTGGTTAAGTGACGGTGACAAATCGTCTGTATTAAAAGGAAGAAATTGAACACTTTAAAATTAAACATGCATAAATTTAAGTTATTTTTTGTTTTTAAGATAAAAACGAATCAATCTATCATTTCCATCCGATTTAATAAATAAATTTAACATTAATTTCAATAACTTACTTTAGTTTAACTTTTCTTTTAAACGTCAGCACTCGTCAATTTTATTTCAGATTTGAATTTAAAACTATTTTGATTAATCGTTGATCAAAATTGCCTTTCAAACGGCGTTTGCAAAAATGTAACTTTTTTGTCATTGCATATAATTTGAAAACTTTGAAGTTAGCAGTTAAAAGTGCAGCAATTTGCGCTCAGCTTCACTTCCACATGTATTATTAAAAACGTCAAGTTTAATCAGAGGTGGCGGAACATACGAGTGTGTTCTTCTCGAGCACAATTTGCATTATAAAGTCGCATTAAGCCGCTCTCGTCGACGCCGGGCCATTATGAGGAGAGCGGCGCGGGGCGAAATTTACTCCCGGCTTGCGCAAGAGATGTAATAATTTCTAAGAAGCGCGCGAGCAAAATTGCATCCAGCGATAATCCGGCCTCGATTCATTCCGGCGCGCAACAATTTTCATCTCTCTCTCGGCAGAGCACGGCATAGCCAGGTCATTGCCGGCATAACTATTTCAAGAAGGCGCTCGCAGAGAAGGAAATGCAATCTGCCTGTATAATTATTTCCCAGGTAAGGGCGTGGGTGTGCATCTGACGAGGGTAGACAGATATTTCTCAATGCTCGCCGCCAGTAATTGGAGTGCGCGCGAGGCGAGAGAACTGCATTTTGCTTTTCATGGCAATGCACTGCGCGCCAACGCCAATTAGAACTTGGTGAATTATTAATTACGCCGCGGCTTTCACGCCGACTGGGCAAAGCGCGCATTCATATTCGGAGTTGCCACTTGATTGTGTTAAAAGTTGTTTGTTGTTTCAGTCGTTTCAGAATTACATCATACAACTCATGCAAATTTAAAAATGTGTTGTGTGCGATCAAGAAATTTTTAATGAGATTTAATACTTGTGAAAGAAATATGTATTTATTCAGGATTGAAGTTTTATTGCTGAAGAATCACCAAATTGAATCGAATTTTTTAAATATCTAAAAAACGTCTCATTTTGTATAAAGATCATGCTAAGCAGTTTTCAGCAAAATTCTAAGTAGTTTGAAAGAAATATCCAGCAATTAAAATGATATAATTTGCTTTCAGCTTCAAAATGGATCAGAGAATACCCGCCAATGAATAAATAAACATTTTTTGCAGCTAAATTGTTTTAAATGAATTACTTTTCCATCTGTACTGGAAGTTTTGGAATTTCACATCATGCTTTGAAAGGTATCTTGAATTTGGAGTGACATTGACATTTATTCTCATTTTAAAATTTCAGATTAATTTTTTAATTTAAATACATTACAATTTAGTGATGCATATTTTAATGCCAATGATAAAAAACTTTAAATCTGTTTTTAAATTTTTTTCTCACTCTAAGCATAAAAAAAGCATTTTATTATCTTGAATAAAAATAAAATTAATTTCATTTAATATTGAAAAAAACTTTAAAGATTGAAAACCCTCCACAGCTTAATTAATGTTAATATAATTTTTTATAATATAAAAATTAGATAACTGTTTCCATTTCAAGATTTATTATTATTTTTAAAGCCCCAAAATATATTAATCAAATTTAAACTTCATGAACAAATTAATTTTCGCTCTTTGAAAAACCAGGAGCAACTTTATTAAAATCCTATGCTATTCCACTCCATAGTCCCTCCACGTGCATAATCTATTAGCATAGTAAATTTAATTGAAAAAACAAATCAAATCACTTGGGCTAACCTGTTGCCCCGGGGGCGAGCTGCGAGCAGCTGTGCGGCTCAGTCCAGCAATTTGGCCGAGCGAGGCCCACAGGTGAGGCGCAGAGAGAAGAATCGAGGGCACACGCGGCGCTCGTTTCGGAGGCAAACGCACTGGTCGAGGCTCGGACGCAAACTAGATCGCACGAGGAGGCCTCTTTGAGGCTCGGTCAAAAATAACTCCAGACTTCCTCGCGGGACGCGGTCGGACCAAGGGGGCTAGACCAAGACACACGGGCCAGATTTATCCCTGCGCTGCCTTTATTTCTCTCTCTCTCTTTCTTTCTCTCGCGCGAGTCTCGAATGATGGATTGGCGTGAAAAAGCGGTGGCCTGTGCGGTGCGACTGACTCACCTGTGACCGATAAATGGTCGAAAAGACTGCCACTCACACACCTGCTGTCAACCTTGCTGGCTGCGTGCTGTTCCGAGATTAATTCTTGCCGTCCACGACCTTCGCTCATTACTCATTCCGATGCCCGGCCACGAGGGATTTTAGTAACATTTTAAAACAACCCTCTCGCTCTCGTTGTATGACTAATGGATTGTTATTAGATCGCTGTAATAAAGTGATTAATCTTTTCAAATCCTTAATACGCGCGTTAACAGCTCTCGACAAAAAGTAAAAATCGTCACACTCGCGTTGGTTTTGAAATCGTGGAGGGTGAAAAAAAAATATACATCAGGAATTTTACGTTTGCAAAGAAGAGTCACAGCTGTTCTCACTAAAGTGGCAAAACACTGGAACGCAATTAAAGAGCTGCAGGATTTAAAATGAAATAATAATTATTTTAAAACGTAACAAAGTTATAAATAAGGTGAGGGAATGGAAATAATTTTTTCCATGAAAAATATTGACAATATTTAATTACCTTTAAATCAATTCCATTAATTTTTTAATGGAGCTATTTAAGCTTTTTAAATTGTATATGCGTATTAAATTTATGAGAATTGTTTTTAACTACAAAATTTGAGATATTTTTCCTAAATTAAACCAATTTGATTTCCTAAATATTGATTTAATTGGTCGTTAATTTATTACAACTTTATGCTTGCATAATTTATTTTATACGTTAAATATATTTCTTGCAAGAATAAAAGTTCAAACAAATATATTTGTGTGCATAGTTTTCCTGAGTTTAATTTTTTGTAATTAATACACTACCCTCGTTGAAAGGGTTGATGTATTATTTATAATTGTGGATGCAGCTCTAGAATAATGATAATTTTGAACCGTATAAGTAGCCCGTCCTTATGAAGCTTTTAGAATCCGTTTTATTCAAATTGGATGCAACAAAGGGAATTGCATTTATTTCCATATTTTGCTGCGAATTCTGCTAAAAGTAAGCACCGTCAGTTCCTGCATGTGATGCACAAAGGAAATTGGTTTCTCTTTCAGCTGAGCTGCAGCTCTGATTTCGTTAAAGCCTCTGTTTGCTCAAGCGTTGTCCGCACTGCAGAATCAAGTGCATTTTTCCTCGTAGGGTGCAATCTAGCGCGATGAAAAAGCGAACGAAACGTTGTATGTACGGAGCAAAAGCGCGGGGAATCCATCCATGCGGTGGTGCTCGCTGAAGGAAATAAAGCAGCCGTAATGCGAAAGCGAGGCAAAATTACGAGCGCACTGATAAGATAATATATTATATTTCTGCAAACACGCCGCAGAAGCGAAACTGCCGTCGAGTGGCGAAGAAAAATAATAATCTCTCCGCTGTTTTCGCTACACACTGCGCGTTGCCGCCGAGGGAGGAGAAAACTCCTGCGGGGAAAACGACACGCTTGTCTTAATGTGTTTATTCATAAATATTTCCGCAGTAGAGGAAAAAACAATTCTGGCCAGAAAGATTTCTTTCTCTTGTATTCTTGAATAATGGCAGGAAACATTTATTTATTTAATACTTTTTGCGCTTAAATTTTGAAAATATTTACGTTTATTTCCCCTTTAAATTTTTTCTCACAATTCATGGATTTTATTTATGTTTTTATGTCAATTTTCAGAAAAATTTGAGATTTTAAGTTTTTGACATTCTTGTTTTGGGCAAACTATGGTGACGACACACATAAATTAAATTAGTAGCCACGCTAAAAATGATTTTGTAAGTTTTAAATCAAGGGTTAATTGTTAATCCTTGAAATATCTAATTAAAAATTAAAACTCGCAATGATCAGAGAATAGACAGTTTGGTTTTACAACAATGAAGAAACTTTTAACCGTGCTTATTTATTACTTCCGGTTTTTTTTTTAATTAACTAATTAGTAGTCTCTTGATATTATCTAATGTTATAGGAAAAGTTGAAAAAAGTTCAAAGGCAAGAAAATAAATTTAACTAAAACTGAACTGAACGTCTCAATTTAATTTGTTTTAATTTTTTTTATCGTTTCAACTAATGTTTATTATTTTTTAATGTTACTTTTACTCAAAAAATTATCTCAACCATTTGTTTTATTTATTTCAAAACGTTATATTCAAAACAAAACGCTTGCTTTTAATTATTCAAAAAAAGAGTGAAATTTTCACCCCAGTGTAAAATCCCAGCTGAGAATGCTGAGGTATTCTAGTTAAATTATTTTATTGTCTGGTACACCCGTTTACGCAAAATTTTAATGTCCCTTGCCAGACGCTGGAGGTCCAACATTCTCTCGATTTTGCTTTACAGTGCCTTGGGACAAACTCTAGCCTCGGCAAGCATTAACCGCACCCTTCATTTGCATACGTGTAGTTGTGCGAACAAGAATATAAAATGAAAGCGTCCATTTAATGTCACTCAGCGTGAAGAATTTGGATGAAAATTTTTGAAAATTCATTCCTCTTCAATTTTCGCTTCACGTAAAATCACCGAGGTGGAAAGAGTTCGTATTTGAAAATTTCATTCATCATTTATACCAAAATTACATATATATGTTCACTAGAATTTAAATAATAAATAATTAGGTCTAGCCGCAATTATTAGATTTCTTCAACCAGGTGATCAATCACTCATGTTCATGTCTTGTGTTGTGCAGGCGGCGGCGATGGAACGATGAAAAATGGGCTGGTGTGGAAGCGTCGGTAGACTGGTGGTGTCGGAGAAACTGCGCCTCGCTGCCGTTGGGTGAGTGCATTATAAATTCACTTTGTGAAATACCCATCTGTTCGCGACCACCACTTTATCCTCCAGCACACTGCACATAATTGTGCCATCTTAATCTGCCCCAACGCCTTGATTTATAATCGGCCGAAAAGAAGAGTGATTCATCACTCGGAAAGCTCGGACACAATTTTTGACCTCAATTTGTAACAATCCGTCTTCAGAGGACAAGGGAAATTATAACTTTTCTTGAGGTGAATCAGAAGTATAAATTTTTTTAAGAATCATATTAGAAAAATTTCTTGACGAGACGTTTATACTTTTTTAATAAATATTTTTCAAATTAGAAAAAAAAAATTGATTTTCTGTATAAAAACAAGTAGTTCGCAATTTAAATATGCGCTAAAAAATTGGACGTCGATAACTAAATATTGATGTCAGGAAACTGAAATTGGAGGAAAGTTAAGATTGCTCTCCACTTATTTGTGAACAAAAAACTTCATTGTTATTCCTTGAAAAAGTTAGCCGCGGCACGTGTAAAAAGTTGGTACTCATTTGATATTCCATATTTGCGGGCAAATCGAGCGGCTGTTTGTTCAGGTCTTGCGCACGTCCCTTTGCCTTTCCTTGGGCCAAAACTTTCACATTGCAAACAAAAAAATACATATGTAGTTTTTGTCTATGTACTGCTCAGGTCGGCGGCCAAGTGGTCGCTTCTCGTCCATATTCCGGTCTAATAGTCGAGCAGCTCGAGCAAGCTGAGAAAGTTTTCGAGGTCCATACTTCCGTATTCTCTCTCCTCTGATGTGCAATGCCACTGAGTGCGAGTTTGCGAGCGATTCATTCCTGCAACAGCTGTCATTGCAAACAAACAGCCACACAGATAAACCCTCGGCTGAAAATTAAAATAGCCTGAGAAGGACCAACATTCCCTGCATCAATTATTTCCCTGCAGCAGTTTATTTTCCTCAAAATTCAGAATACGCAATAGATAATTTTGTAGTATTATAGTATTTTCTTTAAATGCAAACTTCTTCCATCCATGAAATTTGAAAAAAAAAAACGGTTTTTGTAAGGCTGCAATGCACAGTAACTTGCAAATTCAATTATAAAATAATTTAATAATTATTGAGACCATTCAAAGAATATTTATTACAATTGTTTTGTTGATAATTTTTAAAAGAACGTGGCCACCTATTATCCAGCAATTAATTTTGAACGTTCTTTGTTAGTTCATGAAATCGTTTTTTATGTTTTAAATTATAATTAAATTTACAATTTCATATTTAAGATAAATATTAAACACTTTTACATGAATATTATATGATTTAATGTTTAATATTATTTGTTATATTTTACTACTTATTCAACCTGGTCTTCCTTATTCAGTTCATAGCGCAATCAAGCTTTGTCCATTATATTATTTAAAATATTACTATATTTTCAAACATATTAAAATACACTTGCATAAGTCTGCCTTACATTATTTTTAATTAAGGGGAAAATACCCAACTCTCTCACTTATTTTTTAAAGCTTTAATGTAGACATAAACGCAAATTTGTGATTAAAATACAATTTATTTAATTTATTATAATTTAGAAAATATTTTATAATTAATTTACTTTTTTCCAAATAAAAGTGATAAAATCACTAGCATTGACGCAAAGTAATTAGTGAAGTTAATTACTGTGCATATCAAAGTTCCATATCTGTGGAGCGACCTTTTGTAAAGAAGTCCCTTGCGTCTCCACCCGGCCGAGCTCCGGGGCGAAAATGACTATTGAAAATTATTAAGCCTTACGCGTTTGCACAAACACATCGTTTTGGTCGCCACGTTGCACGCACCCTGCAATTTCCCCAGTGCGAAAAGTTGGACGAGAATGAAAGATTTAGCGTACGGACCCGGCTTGAATAATTTATCTCTTCCGCTCGGCTTATTCGAACGTGCAGGCGAAGCAAATAAAGTGCAGGGCACAATGCTAGCCCGCGCTACAAAATTAAACAATGCGCGCGCGAGTAGCAATGTGTGTAAGCGCGCGTATATCTTTAGCATT